ATTATTATACTGTATTCTTACTTATGTACTGTACGTACGTCACATAGCTCAATTATATATTAACTTTTATATGAGTCCTATCTAAAGTAGTAGAGTATTTAAAACAAAAGTAGTAGCGTAGTACAACTTTAGATCTTTATACTCATACGTATATTTAAAAATCATACCTATCCAACTTATAAGTAGGAAAGATGATAATATTTATAAGTATAATAAGTATGAAAACGATCATACTTGTAAGTATACCTGTGCGACGAAAATTGAAATGAACTTTTCACGTGATACAAGTACTAGGCTTGGGTAACCGTGGGATAATCGGAACCAAGATCAGATGCATAATATAACGTGATGGTGATAAATTGGTGATTAATTAAAAAGTATAAAGTAATAAAGCGAAGCATAAAAAATTAATATAGAAAATGACATAAATGATGTAATTTTATAGTATAGAATATAAAAGTAAAAAATAAGTAAAAGGGAAAATCGATGCACATAAGATTTTGAGAACTATATATTCAAACAAAAGTTCCCTTGAATTAAACTTACAGTAAAGAATTTTTAATCCCGCAACATTATAAATAACGTATAATTTATATCAAGCATTTCCGCATAAAACTTTATATGTAATATTTTGCAATTTTTGATAATACCGATGTATTTTGAATAATCGTATGATAGTGTATGTGTGTACATTGTACAGTACATAAGATTTTTTTTTTTAAATAATTGAAACTACCACATACTTTTGTTCATGTTTACTTTCTTGAAATGGACGATCTTTACTTTCAAACTACCGATGATCCTGACATTCATATTCACGATGATCCTGACCTCTATATTAACGATGATCCTGACTTTCATATTATTGATGGGGTTGAAACTATTTACGAAGAAGATCTAGAATCCTTCGAAAATAAAAGTGTATTGATTTCTTTTGATGATGAACTCCAAGAGATTGATGATACTATTGCAAGCGATTTAAATGAAGATACAATAACTTATTTTACTAAAGAATTGGCAACAAAGATTATTTATCATACTTTAACGCCTATAGAATATCCTGAAACTAGTCTTGAAGGTTATTGCTTATATCTATAATGTAGAAGGTTGGGAAGAACTATTAACTGCATTCAAAGACGTTAGTAAATTTTTAAATTTTATGTATTTTAATCTGATTGTATATTATTATATTATTATATTTTACTTAATATATTTTATTTTTAGATTCAATATTCAATTGGCAAACCCAGTGGTGAATATAAGGTTATGTGCCCTTATCTTGGTGTTGAAGTAAAACATGAAATGCGAACTTGTCAAGATTCAAAACTTTGTGAATTTGTCGCACATAAATTACATAATCAAACACATCAATGTGTTGATATTAATTCTGATCTTATGATGTGAATAACTCAAGAAATTTCATCCAGTAATATAAATAATAATACCTTTGAATAAGTA